TATTAAGTGCTAAGCGAAATCTTTCAGAGTCAAAATCCTGCAAATATGTTGGATAATTGAAAAAAGGTTTTTTAAAATTGCTCAATTTAATTCCAACAAACATAAATCTAGATAATGCTTTATCTGAAAGACACATTATGTAGGTTCCAATAATTTGATGGTATCTATCTTGAGCAGCCATCTCGAAAGGTCTGCGCCATAATAAGGGAATTGCCTGGCAACACCATAGTCGATTGACATTAATCAAACTATGAAGGGTTTTCGGATCATCTTTATGATATTCGAAAATTTCTCTCAAAATATCTGCTATTAATGTCACCGAAGGCATTTCTAAAAAGATAAAATCAGAACTACAAGATGTAATAGAGTACTCATAATTATGCATTTTTAGATGTTATACAATATAAAACACATGATAACAATTTGGAAAAAAATTGCTTGTGTCAGTGCATATAAATCGATTACATAATAAACTAGTCTTTTCCTTCATTTGACAAGTCTTGCCCGTGTACAATGATCGAACATTCGGAGACTACAATAGTGAATTTTCTTTAACAATTAACAATTGCGTAAATGAATCAATCCATATGACGTTAGAACTATGTGGAGTGGATATAGCCTAAATATAAGGCACATAATATAAAACATATTCGTACACTGTTAAAAAGTTCACACCAATCTGTGATGTTATTCTTCAAGAAACTTAGGTTGCATGCATCCGTATTTAATCCGTATTGACAAACCCTAAAAAGGTAAAATTTTCGGTGTTCTGCCGAAAACTTTAAACCGACTTTGAACCGACCAGGATGCGAAATGATTATGTTTATTCAGTTCGGCCTCAATGGATTGCCGTTTGATAGTGCCCTAGCCATAGGAAGTCAGTGTTGTGATATTCTACATATACACGATAATTAACTATGCCTAGTGTATTAACCATATGGTGTAGTCGGCTGGCTAATCCAGCCAACTAAAACCAACGGCTAAGTGGATAACTATCGGCTAACCTTACGGAACCTTTCGAAACTTTTTCCAAAATTTTAACTCAATCGTGTACCTGTCTCTTACCATTTATAATCATGTGATCTTTACCATGGCCGGTCGACCATATTACCGGTATATCGGCTGGCTTAGCCGACTAAGCCGCAGTTACCTAAAACACTAACGTTAATACGTACGTACGCACGTATTAATCACTTTGC